GTGAATTGTTTAGTACTATTGTTATTATAATAAATAAATATTACTTTAATTAATACGATCATACCGATGTCTTATTATTACAAAAAAAACCAAACTAGGCACTATTTATAATAATTATAATATTTTTTGTTTACAATACCATCCAATATATTCAGACGATACAATAAAACACAATCTAACAGTAAAACGTCAATATTTATTTATACCATCGTCATTATTTACCAAAAGACAGGTTATGTGGTCTAGAAAATGGGTTCCAGACCTTGGGGTAATTACATACACGGGGGTAAATATGGAATTGTGAGGGGGTAATAAATTCTCTTAGAATTGAGGCTAGAAACCATGTGAAACATTTTTTCGACAAAAGTAAATTTAACCTAAAGAAACTAGTGGCTGCCATTATAAAACTACATGGAATTTTGATTGGGTAATAAACTCTCTTAGAACTGAGGCTTGAAACCGTTTCAATGTAAAGCATTTCTCAATATAATAGTGAAACGTCAATATTTATTTATACCATCGTCATTATTTACCAAAAGACAGGTTATGTGGTCTAGAAAATGGATTCCGGACCTTGGGGTAATTAAATACACGGGGGTAAATTTGGAATTGTGAGGGGGTAATAAACTAGAATTGAGGCATACTCAATGTGAAACATTTTTTCGACAAAAGTAAATTTAACCTAAAGAAACTAGTGGCTGCATTATAAAACTACATGGAATTTTGATTGGGTAATAAACTCTCTTGGATCTGAGGCTAGAAACCGTTTCAATGTGAAGCATTTCTCAATATAATAGTGAAACGTTAATATTTATTTATACCATCGTCATTATTTACCAAAAGACAGGTTATGTGGTCTAGAAAATGGGTTCCAGACCTTGGGGTAATTACATACACGGGGGTAAATATGGAATTTTGATTGGGTAATAAACTCTCTTGGAACTGAGGCTAGAAACTGTTTCAATGTGAAGCATTTCTCAATATAATGATAAAACGTCAATATTTAATTATACCATCGTCATTATTTACCAAATGACAGGCTATGTGGTCTAAAAAATGGGTTCCGGACCTTGGGGTAATTACATACACGGGGGTAAATATGGAATTGTGAGGGGATAACTCTTTTGGAACTGATGCTAGAAACCCGCGTGGATGTGGATATTTATTATAGTTCTCAACAAAAGTAAATAACATAGAAATTAACGAGTGCAATTAAACTATTTTTACTCAAGTCAGTGTTTATATGTATATTAAAAATGAGTTTGTTTGGTTCCCCGCAAACGTTGGTTTGCCATATAAATTAAATAATAAATATGGTTTGGTGGTAAAAGTATGAAAAATTAGGGATGTATGTATTTTTTACCCCATTTGAAATAAAAAGTTCGAAATAATAAAATTAAAATGTTAGGGGTGGACACCCCTTATCAGTTAGTGGTATAAAAAAATAGATAGTAACCGATTCTCAGGCCTACTGAATATGCCTACAAAAATTCATAGAAATCGCTCAAGCCGTTTTGGAGGAGTATGGTAACTAACGTTGTGACACGAGAATTTTATATATAAGATCGATTGTTTTGTAAATATTTTAGGATGGGGGTAAAATTGGTTTCTCTAATAGATCATTGGGGTAACAATACTGTGATTAGGAACCCCTGTTCTAGCAACATTTCCCTGCCCGTTGGAACCAATTGACAAACAACAATCATCGTCATTATTAATATATATACATATATATATATATAGTAAAAGTGCAAAAAACAGTCTGTGACACACGTATACACCATTTAAATATATTATTATTACATATACTTGTGACGTCATAGCCATGGCCATACCCAGGTAGTGACATATCCCCCCTCCCTGAAAAATGCTTTAAAATATATTGTACATTAAAATTTCAAATGACCTTATCCCGGCTTGAAATACTACTACCCTTTTCGACCATAAACTAGGTACGACCATGGTCATAGCGTTTATTAAAGAACTCTCTGAAGTCTGCATATCTGTGAAACAAAAACTATTAAACAATGTATATTGGAGTAGTCATAATTGTAATAATAATCATAATTAAATTAAATAAAAAATAAAATTTAAAATAAAGCTAACGAAATAAATTAATGATACAATGTTTTGCCATATTCTTTAAAATTAAGAAAGTAATTTGAATAAAAAAGACAAAAGACAAAACTTCTCCTAAAATATTTCTCAAACCTTCGCACAAAATGCGTGATCACGTTAAAAAATTTGAAAATACATATATTAATTTAAAGGGTAAACAAGCTGACGGCCCGCCTGATGGTTTTTAGAAAATTGTTTAATACATTTCTGAAAATTCATAGACAATGCAGACTTCATAAAAAAAAGCGCAATGAACGCTCGTCATACAGGCATAGACAAAGTATCATTAACAATATTTTTTTAATTAGTAAATAATTTAATAAATTTTATTACAAATTCATTGAACAAAATTTTGGTTATATTTGTGGCAAATTGAAATTATCTATACATATATAAAAGTGGAGTGTATGTTTGTAATATTGAAATAACCGTTTTTTACTACATGCATGTGAATATAAATACGGTACATACACCAAAATAACATTTTTTACAAAATTTTTGTCTATCTGTTTGTTACGGCTAATCTCTGAAATGTGTGGACCGATTCTGACGGGACTTTTATTTTAGTCTGTCTGCCTGTCTGTTTGTGCCGACTAATCTCTGAATTGTCTGGACCGATTTTCTTGATTGACGGGACTTTTTTTAGCTGATGTAATAAGAAGTAACTTAGGCGACTTTTAATTTAGAAAAATAAAGTTAAAATCCACGCGGACGAGTCACGAGTACAGCTAGTTTCAAATATATTTGTTATTGAATCATTAAGCGTGCTATATATGTAAAGTATCACATATAATTTAGTATGTTAGATACAAAATTTGACAAATATTCTACAGTATATATATATATAACTAGCATTTAACACTTTTAAAAAACCTTACTCTAGACAATTTAACGGAGAAATCTTAAAAGGACGATATTATAATATATATATATATATATATATAACTCAAAGTTTTTCTATCAACGCACATGCAAACCACTGGACGGATGAATATAAATTTGGTATGCAGTTAGATGTTATGACGTAAAATCCGCTAAGAACATTTTTTTAATTCAAAATTTTTAGTCTTGTATAAAACTTTATCAATTTTAAACCGATCAGTCTGAGACTTTGTAGGCATAAAGCTACTATCACGTCATAAGAAAGGATTTTGATAAATTCCACCCCTGAACGCGAGACTTTAATATAACATTATAAAGCTGAAGAGTTTGTTTGTTTGTTTGTGCGCTAATCTCAGGAACTACTGGTTCGATTTGATTTTCTTTTGTGTTGGCTAGTGCATTTGTCGATAAAGTCTTTAAGCTATATAACATTACGCTACGACCAATAGGCGCTTTTATTTTGCAAATTTTTTAAGCGCAGACAAAGAAGCAGCAGATTAAAACGAAGTTGCGCGGACAGAGATAAGACAACGGCCTCAGCTAGTTTTAGCATATCGTTATATATAGTCGCTGGTTCAGTTCCTCGCATGCAAATTTTGTATTCACGAGTATTATATGTTTGTATTCTTTCATATAATATTTTCTATATAATGTAATCATCACCTAAAATAAATACACTTGTTCAATATTTAGCAATATATATATATATAAAACTGTAATTACGTCTTAATTAAATTAATAGTTAATAATAACCATGGACAATTGACACAGCGCCATCTAGACCCAAGTTAAAGAAAGTTCTTAAACACTATATAATATATATATATATATATATAAACACTCAGACCGATACAAACAATCATACTCATGAATACCAATGTTTGTCATACGGTGTATTGGTACAGCGATATCCGTGATACTGTCAATCAAGACTGAAATCAGCTTGTTTCCAGTTACATAAAAAAAGAGTATAATATATATATTTTATCTTATCATCCTTTTCAATACATTTTATTTATATAAACATTCTATATTATATATACACTAAAAGAACACATAGTTATTTGTATATTTTTACTTAATTTATCATACATTAAACAGATAATTTCCTATTTGAAATTGCACATTTTTTTAATTTAACTACTAATTTTTTATGTTTATTTACATCGTTTAAGGCAAAGACATTAGGCCTATACAGCCGTTGTAATTAGAAGCGTTAAAGAAACAAAATTATTTCAACTATTACCAACCAACTTTATGTCAAATATATTGTACTAAATATACGCTAAATTCTCCTATAATCCTTCTCCAACTTTCTCCTCTATAACGTAATATGTATCGTAATATAAACAAAAAAGTATCAATAACAGCAATTTATGGAGAAATTGTATATTTTCTTGTAATATGCAATGAAATACTTAAATAAAAAGAATAAAACGTAAATACAATATTCAATTTAGTTATTTATCTACTAAGGTCAAATTTCAAATAGGAAATTGTCTGATTGACTTATTTGGCGAGTTCTATTTATTTATTACATTCAATTAAAGATAATTCGAAATTTGAATTTGAATTATGAATTAAACGTTTTAGAAATTGTAACATTATTTTTGTTTTCTAAATAACCTGTGCCAATAAAATATGGCAGTATAGAATATACTTTAGTACATACATAATAATTATAATAAAAATAAGTTATTTTAATAACAAGATGGAGATCAGACTTCACATATTATAAAAAGCTAATGTTTGTATTAGTTGATTCAATAATTAAAACTTACACTATAAATTCATATGAAAAAATACGAGCAATTTTAGAAAATTACAACGTTTTAAAAATGGCGCGAATCATTTTCAAATAAAATTTAAAACAAATAGACGTACTATCTTAACGTGAATTTTTATGTATTTTTTAATGTTTCCTTAAACGTTATGATTGTAAATTCTTTATAGTTTTTATTGATTTCCAAATTTATCCTAAAATGTAATTAAAAATTACTTGCAACATAACAAAAATGGCGCGAATTATTTTCAAATAAAATTTAAAACAAATAGCCGTTCTATATTCACTTGAATTTTTATGTAATAATAATAATTATTATTATTTATTTATTTACCAAAATTGTTTCATATATCTACAATAGCACTGATTCCTGCATTGTATGTATTTTTTAATGTTTCCTTGAACGTTCTCTATGGTTAATGTTGTATTTTCAATCATCATAAGTTCTCTGTGGTTAATGCTTAATTTCTCGATGGTTTTTATTGATTTCAAAATTAGAACCCGCCAAATAGTGTATGAATGTATTGAATATAACACATTTAATATAACTACGCTAGTATTTGCACATGTTTCTTAGGAGGGTCGCGTGGCTCTTTCAGTACATAAGACGTCGTACGCCTAAGGGAGCCCACGGAATCTGTGGAAAAGTGCCATAGATAAGAAATACCATTCTAATAATAAAAATACATTAAAATAAAAAAATATATAGATATATAGTGTATTGGTAATGTAGTGTAGTGGTAGCAGGTGGTAGTGTTGGTGGTAAACTGTAGTGGTAGTGTGGGTGGTACTTACTGTAGTGGCAGTGTGGGTGGTACTCACTGTAGTGGTAGTATGGGTGGCACTCACTGTAGTTGTGATGTGGGTGGTACTACCTATAGTGACAGTGTGGGTGGTACTACCTGTAGTGGTGATGTGGGTGGTACTACCTGTAGTGGCAGTGTGGGTTGTAGTGAGTGTAGTGGCAGTGTGGGTGGTAGTGAGTGTAGCAGTGTGGGTGGTACTCACTGTAGTGGTGATGTGGGTGATACTATCTGTAGTAACAGTGTGGGTGGTACTGCAGTGTGTGGGTGGTAGTGAGTGTAGCAGTGTGGGTGGTACTCACTGTAGTGGTGGGTGATACTATCTGTAGTAACAGTGTGGGTGGTACTGCCTGTAGTGGCAGTGTGGGTGGTAGTGAGTGTAGCAGTGTGGGTGGTACTCACTGTAGTGGCGATGTGGGTGGTACTACCTGTAGTGACAGTGTGGGTGGTACTACCTGTAGTGGCAGTGTGGGTTGTAGTGAGTGTAGTGGCAGTGTGGGTGGTAGTGAGTGTAGCAGTGTGGGTGGTACTCACTGTAGTGGTGATGTGGGTGGTACTACCTGTAGTGGCAGTGTGGGTTGTAGTGAGTGTAGTGGCAGTGTGGGTGGTAGTGAGTGTAGCAGTGTGGGTGGTACTCACTGTAGTGGTGGCAGCGCCGGAAGGAGTGGTGCGAGCAGCGCGCGCGGGCGGGCGAGGAGGGCGCGGAGCCGCCGCGCCGCGACTGTCGCTACGACCAGCGCAGCTCCTTCAGCTCCACGCTGCTGTTCGGAGTCTCCTGCGCAGTACACGTACGTACCAATATACGAACTGCTAAACTAACTGATCTTTTCTTGACTATAAAAAACCTTATTCTATACAAGAGAGAGAGAACTATTAAAAGGATGACATAATAATCTTTATATATAAAACTTTCATCCCCTATTTTATTTTACCCCCTTAAGGGTAATTTTTTTATAAACTTAGATGGCCTATTTATTTTTATTTAATCAACAGCCTCAAAAATAAGTTTCAAGCTTCTAGATTCAACAATGACGAATTAAAATAAAAAAAATGACTCCCTAATTTATTTAACCCCACGATTACGATTTAAGGGTAATATTTTTAAAAACTTTGTATGTCATATTTAATTAGCAGACTCAAAAATAAGTTTCAATCTTCTAGCTTCAAAAATCACGATTGTTCCATTCAATCTTTCATCCCCATTTTCAACTCCTTACAACCCTTTTTTCGCATTAAAAAGTAGCCTATGTCCTTTCTCAGGGTCTAGACTATCTCGTCATAGTCGTAGAATACTGTCGGATCTGACAAATATTAAACTTTACAGGTTTCAAATATCAGTGTTGGTTTTTTTGACATAACTATTTTAATTCTAAATTTATAATTATGAAAATTGGCATACAATTAAAAAATAGGGATTGTGTTAAAATGAAATAAAAATAACAACTTATAATTATACAGTTTTCCAGAAAAATCACATGCTTCATTTTACGTCGGAGTCAACACAGTCGCATAGTATTATCCGACATTGTTCGTCGGAAAGTTTCGTTTCGAAGAATGACGCATGTTACTTTCCGATTATGTTCTATGGACTTACTGAGTAATATTTTGGCGGATGTGTTATTTATCATATTCTATTTTGACCATAAGTAAGTAGGTTATGGTTGGTATGTAAATAGGTAGGTTGGGGTAGGTAAGGTATCTTAAATAAAACACAGACTATTTAGTCTGGTCATTGGACTATTTTTAATCAATATAATAAACATTAAGCTTAAATTATGTAATTATCAATAGAATTATTATTAAGAAAACTATAATGTTGAAGTCATTTGTCCTGATTACTTCTTTTTTGGTTAATAACTAATCTAAAACTTAATCACTAATTATTTATTAAGAAAACTCTAATATCACAATAATTTTTATTAGTATTTAAATAGTGTTGTAACGACATTAATTAAAATGAATAAATCTTAAAAATCATAAATTCTGAAATCAAAATAGAAACTAAGTAACTAGAAAAGTCATTTAATCAAAAAGTATATAACAATTCTATTGGACTATTATTCAGCACTTCATTGAATCCTCGTCAGAAAGTTTTCCGTTAGGTAAACTTCTCAAATAGTTATGGTATTTGACAGGTATTATTAAGGAATCGTAAAGACAATAAGATCCTTATATTTATCATTACTGATAGGAATTGTGTCCCGCCTAAGCTTTTTGTATGATTGGAGTATTTTAATTTCTAGTCTCCTTTCAAAGTACGATGGTCATGTAATCATCAGATAAAGCATATTTGTACCGTTTTATTGAAGTCCTATCAACACAAACCTTTTATGCCTGTCAAATTTACTTTATTGTTAGCTGTTCTTTAAAATCAAACACTAACGAATTTACATGACTTCACAATAATCACCTGTTACTTTATCCCAACATACAAACTTCTTTAGTAGTCATAAACGCAACTGATTCATTGGCCCCACGTTTGATAACACTTTCATCCCACATATTGCAATGACAGTTTTGGCTTTTATACAATACACTCATTTACCCATAAGGACGCGACAAAACCTTTTAGAAATCAATATGTAGCACAAACGATGCGTCCGGTAGAAATAATCGCGTCATTTTTATCATTATGTTTTAAGGTTCTAGATACTTTTTTTGCTATTTAAATGGTTTGCGAACTATTCTCTAAGGTCTTCAGACGGATTTTGTGTTTCTTTAAAACTGTGACACTGATCATGTATTTAGGTAGATGGAAACTCAAATTAAATTAGATTAACTATGTCTCTGTACTATCTAAGCCTAGAAGCTGTATTTAAATAATTATTTATTAAGTTCAAGCCATTCTTTGTATAAATTGAACATCCGAGCGATGCTCAAGTCACCATCTAAATCTTTTGGACGCTGCTCTATTATAATAAGGCTATACTGATACAAATGATGTGTAGACCGACTTTACCATATCATCGTCAACAATCCGATTATGATTTTTATGTTTTCGGGATAATCGGTTGAGGGAAAGGTGACAGATCTGATATCAAGGTAGAGGTATTTAAAAGGGTTAAGGATGAGCTTATATATGTATTTATGTATATTTGCTTATATTTGTTTGAGCTTGTATTTTGTATTAGTGGGAAAAGACACCATGCTGGTTTTCTGACGGGAGTGAATCTGCGAGCATAAATATATATGAGGATGCATTTTGATACACGGTCATAAGAAGGATCTTTTCCAAGAACACAAGTAGGTGATTGGCATGTTTGGGTTCATATTATTTTGATTTTATGATTCTGTTTGTTCCGTGTACGTCATCTGAAAAGACGTCCACATAATTATCATTCATCTTTTCTATAATGTCGCATACTCCTGGGGGTAGTGGTGAAAAGCATTCTGAAAATATATGTAAAAAACATAAGTATATATTATTAATATAGCAGGTACATTTACTAAAAATCGTAAGACTATTCAGAATAAAATGATCAGAAAGTATAAAAAGTATAAAAATTACTGCTTTTTATTTTTACAGGCAAATTACTACTCAGGTTAGATTATTATTTTTATAGAAAAATATATTAAATATGTACGAATAATCATTTTTTTCAGTAGAAAAAAGTTGGAAGTGAATTTAGTTCTAAGAACAAAGTGGGATTGTCAGATACGACCGTTAGATAAAAAAGCGTGTCCGCAGTATATAGTCGGTTGTGATCACGCGTCACTATCATGTCCATAGAAAACTGTAGTATAGTTGCATACAACTTGAAAAGTCAAATTGTCAAATAATATAACACAAACTCAACAGAATATTGTATTACTAACACTAAGCAAATTATTTTATTGTAAATTAAATTTTAATTTGATTTATAATTTTCCATAGAAAAACGACGGATAGTCAGAACCGACGGTTTAATTATTTACTTTGTAAAAATTGAATAAATATAAGAATTAAATGATACCAAACTGTTAATACATAATTAATTAACTTACCTGAAGTCCCTGGTACATATTTCTCCTCATTAATGCACTCTTTATAGTATAATTTGTAATTTGTGCAATTTTGCTTGTTTCTTTCACAATTTTTAACATAAGATTTGAACATTGCGGTATAACTTTTAACATAGTATAAAAAACTAAGCAATAAATAATGAATGAATAGGCAAACAAAGATATAACTAGTGTAATTTTTTAAGAAAAATTTAATCCGCTGCAACTCGTCATCGAGTTCGACGAATAGTGGCGGTTATTGAAATCCGTCGGGAGTGGCAGGGGGCGGTGGGTAATCCCAGCGCGTCGTACAATTATACACTACCGTCATTTTACTATGAGCGCCATTCAAATCCGACAGTTTACCGACTGATTAACTTGAAATCTAAAATACATATAATTTTTTATTTTATGTAGTCATAATATTTAGATAATGTAGTATCCAAATATAGTAAAAAGTGAATTTCGTATTTTTTTCAAATATATATACCAATTTCATTTAAATAGGTTCAGTAGTTTTGGCGTGAAAGCGAAACAGACAGACAGAGTTACTTTCGCATTTATAGTATTAAGTAAGGACAGGAAGTAAGAATTTACGTGTCTATTAGGCATATAGAATTAAGAATAAATATCACATTTAAAATAAGTAATCATGTTCCTAAATAACAGTTATATGTAACGTGTAACTGAATCAAAACGAGAGTAAATTATGTTTGCTGCTATAATCCACTGAATATCGCCATCAGTATCACGTTGTTTCTCCGCGATGGACTCCTAAACTACTGAACCGATTGCGAATTTGGTTTGCACATTGTGTGCAATTTGATCCAACTTGAAAGATAGGAATAGAATAGAATAGAATAGAAAATCATTTATTCAAATAAACTTAATTTAAGCACTTTTGAATAGTCAACATTTTTTTAAATCTACCGCTTATTCGGAAAGCTGTCTCATCACAAGAAGAATAAGCAAGAAACTTGTGTGTTGCTCTTTTAAACATTCCTTGTAAGTTCACATTTTACAAGTCGAAACGTGTGAATACAAACTACCAACCAGCACTAATTTATTTAGGCTCAAATATAAAAACACAATAAGATTAAATCAGTAGTAGTGATAATATGATAGCTTACATCTCAATTTATAGTCGCAATATTATTGTATTCAAGAACCTTAGCCACAGCAACGCGGTCTGCTAGTAATATATAGACCTAAATATAATGACAGTGGTCCAACGGTTTAGTACACCGCCTTACTTCCGATTGTCGCAGGTTCGATTCCTCGTACGATGTATACATTCATATTCATGAATATGATTGCTAGTATCGGGGATGAATGGAAGAGATAACCATATTACGCCGACCCCAAATGAATGGGATAAGGATGAAGCAGATGATGATGATGACGATGATGGTCAGCTCAGTCTAGATGGCACTGTGTAATTGTTCTGAGTTATTATTATTGTTGTTGCAAACTATTTTTATACCTTTTTTTATTACTTATGTGTTTTTTATAATATTATATTGTTTTTATATGACATAAGTCAATTTAATACAAAAATATTCTTCAAATACAACGGTGCCGTTTTACTTTTGCTCGTCATCTTGGTCTCCATCCTTCACAATGGTTATTGTAACTCGTCTATCAGGTCTGTCAGAAGTAAATCTATCTAATAGATATGATTTTAGTCTGAGGATACCGCTAGGGGTTCGACCCACAGCTTAGTCTTATTCGTTTTCCCGTTTCCCGTATCTATTCCCGTTGGGATTGGACAGGGGTCTAAAAATACGTACCTCATATTTAGAGGGAGCGGGCGGCACGTGAGTGGTTGGTGAACATCTCGAGCATCCAGGTCTTAACACGGTCCTGGTTGAGGAACCGCCTCTCATCGCCGTCTTTAACTCCTGGGAACATAAACAAATAAATCATTGCAAATGGCAAATTTGGAGTTATTTTGTGGAAGTCCATCTTAATACTGCTACGCTAACCACCACGGCAATGTACCTATCCCGTCTACATTACGCCACTAAGGAACAGGATATTGTCGATTATATATGAACCAAGAGTAACCATTGAGGGCGACTCTGACTCTGACTACTCCATCAAAGATAAGTCGTGAAGTTATCTCACTATTACCGATACTACAGTGAAAGTACCAGGAGAACATGACTCGCAAGTAGGCTAGAGCCTACTCTTCTATTGGAGTAATGTGGTTCTTTATTCAAATATACCGAGCGAATTGTGGACATGTCAAGTGTTATGTTCACAACATCGACAGTTGATAATGACTCTGACTACTCCATCAAAGATAAGTCGTGAAGTTATCTCACTATTACCGATACTACAGTGAAAGTACCAGGAGAACATGACTCGCAAGTAGGCTACAGCCTACCGCCGTCTATTAGAGTAATGTGTTTTTCTTTATTCAAATATACCGAGCGAAGTATGGACATGTCAAGTGTTGCGTTCACAACATGGACAGTTGACGATGACTCTGACTACCCCATCAAAGATAACAGTCGTGAAGTTTTCTCACTATTACCGATACTACAGTGAAAGTACCAGGAGAACATGACTCGCATAAAGACTACCGCCGTCTACTGGAGTAATGTGGTTCTTTATTCAAATATACCGAGCGAAATGTGGACATGTCAAGTGTTGCGTTCACAACATGGACAGTTGACAATGACTCTGACTACTCCATCAAAGATAACAGTCGTGAAGTTATCTCACTATTACCGATACTACAGTGAAAGTACCAGGAGAACATGACTCGCAAGTAGGCTACAGCCTACCGCCGACTATTGAGTGATGAGTCATAAATATGATATCTTATTATATATTCTTTCTCTCTCTGTAAAAATAATAAAAAGCTATTTAAGAAGTAATCCCCCTAAGGCGTAAATAGCTTTTTATTATATATCTACTTAAAAAAATACAAATCCTTGGATTCGACATTCATATATATACAGTTCAGTACAGTTTATATATATATATATGACGTATATATATATGCTCGCTATAAAGTTCAAACTTGTATGGTGTGGTTGATAAAATGGCTGGCTTATCCATCATATTGAACGGGTGCTGCTTGTGGGAACTGGTCTGTCCAAGTTGCGAACTTTGATTAGATATTTTGTTTTTTTTTTCAATAGCATATGCTGGTGGTCACTCTATTCTCCCAAATTTGAATTTAAACGAATCTGTATTATTGTAAATATGTATAAAAATAAAAAAAAATACGAGCTGATTTTCTTGTCAGTTCTTCTCATTTCGAAATCACTTTGGATGTGACATATCAAAAGAGTCTGTAATAGACCTACATGAATAAAGATATTTTGAATTTGAATTTGAATTCTATGATATAGCAAGTACATAAAATAGCTCTGATTACTCCGATAACTGGTCATGACAGTTGCATGTGACCTTACCTGTCCCATCTCGCTACAAAGTGACTGTCGCCCATGTGAGGCATGCTTCTTGGTGTTCCAACAGAACTCCAATATGGCCACCATTATTGCTAAAGCCAAGCCACACAGCAGAGTCACGAACACTCCACCTTCATGCAATAAAGTATATTAGTAGTAGTAAGTTCATTTGCGGACAACGTTATAATTTATTTTTCATACTGCTTTCTTGATATATGATAGCGTAGCGGCTTTTGTATTGATTGCCGCATGCATCCTCATGTAAAGTGCGAATACTGTAACTACCATATAGTAATTTTTGTAGCTGTGACGTGGTCGAGTGGAATGAGTAGTCATGCTCACTAAAATGTCCAGACATGTGGCGGCGTGGTGGGCCGGGTCATTGGGCTCCCTAAAATATGGTCGAGCGCAGTGATGGCTGGCTCATCCGTCATACTCGTGAACGAGTGCTGCTTGTAGGGACTGGTCTGCTCTTATCACTACGACTGATTTAATCTTATTGTGTTTTTATATTTGAGCCTAAATAAATTAGTGCTGGTTGGTAGTTTGTATTCACACGTTTCGACTTGTAAAATGTGAACTTACAAGGATTATTTAAAAGAGCAACACACAAGTTATTATTATTCTTCTTGTGATGAGACAGCTTTCCGAATAAGCGGTAGATTTAAAAAAATGTTGACTATTCAAAAGTGCTCAAATTAAGTTTATCTGAATAAATGATTTTCTATTCTATTCTATTCTATATTATGTTCAGAAAGAGCAGTTTTTCTTATTGCGAGAAAAAATGGCCTTCAGATAAGTTCTTCACCTTTTGGACTAGTTTTCATTTCATACAGCAAAGTTGAAAGTGTAGCTGTATTCAACAGCATTAGTGCTGTAATGCTGTCCAAAAAAATAAGTAATAGCTGGAAAAATAATAACAATAACCCTGGACAATTTACACAGCGCCATCTAGTCCCAAGCTGTGCAGAGCTAGTGACTAGTTGCTATGACTAGAGCTAGACAACTGATATAAATACTTAAATATATATTTTTTATATACATACATCATTATCATTATCATTACATAGTCCAAATTAAGTCGCTGTCGCTGTCTGTCCGTCCATATGTTGCTTAAATCTTTAAAACTACGCAACGGATTTTGAAGCACTTTCTTTAATAGATAGAGTGATTCTAGAGGAAGGCTTATACTTTATATATATAATACATGTACACCCGAGCGGAGCCGGGGCGAGTAGCTAGTATATAATGAAAACACCGAGATTAGACAAATTTTTGTACCGTGCGAGGAATACAACCCACGACAGTCCATAACCCCATTGACAATCAATAGTAAACCATCGTCGTCTAATCCGCCTCAGACTTATCATCCTCCACTGGTGAGGCCGTCGCGGGCAATATAAAGCAATCAATAGTAAAGCGTCGTCTAATCCGCTAGACCGGTGAGGCCGTCGGGACAATATAAAGAAACAGCTTACCAATATTCTGCACCCCTAATGGATTCGCCTTGCTGTCCTTTCCGTCTCTATTACATACATCCCCTGTATTTTTCCACCACTTGTCGTACAGTATCTGTATAACCCCCTTCTCCTGAAGCTCTAGTATTGCCAGGGATATTTTGTCCCTCCAGGGACTACCTTTCCAGGTCGCGATGCCGTAACCCTGAAGAGATGTTAAATCTGATTAATCTTATAAACGCAAAAGTTTGTGAATATGAATGGATGTTTGTTACTCTTTCAGGCAAAAACTACTGAACGGATTTTGATGAAACTTTACAGTAATATAGCTTATACATCAGAATAACATATAGGCTATATTTTTGATTAAAATTAACACGGTAGAGGCCGCGGGTACGGCAGCTAGTCTATACATATAAATAAAATTGGAATATCTGTTTGTAATATTGAAATAACCGTTTCTTACTACATACATATGAATATAAATACCGTACGTACATCAAAATAACATTTGTTACAATTTTTGTCTGTCTGTCTGTTTGTTCCGGCTAATCTCTGAAATGGCTGGACCGATTTTGACGAGACTTTTTTTGGCAGGTAGCTGGTGTAATAAGGAGTAACTTAGGCTACTTTTATTAAAGAAAAATAAAGTTAAATTCCACGCCGACGAAGTCGCGGGTGCTATAGCTAGTGTTATATATAAGAGTTAGTTTAATGTGTACCTTTGAGTCCAGGAGACCTCCAATCTGCGTCAGATTACAGTCCCTCTGTACTCTATGATCCAGCATCGTGGACTCCATGAGGAAAGCGTAGTTCCCCATTAGTACCCTCTTCACGCCTTCCTCGTACGAGGGCACCAGCGCCGGTGGAGAGGTGGTCGACATATGCTGCCACATCTTCTTATATATGTCGATGTTTGAATCCTGTCGATTGGGGAATGGGATTCAAATAAAATTCTTTTTTCTTTCTCACAGAAAATCTCTTTTTAGAGATAAGCTCGCCCTTGTACATTACATTTATTCTGTATACTTTTTTTTATTATATGTTTGTGTGTACAATAAAGAATAAAGAAAAAGTCAAATTAAAAAATCATCTAGTAGGACATTTTAGCCGCTTATGAACGTAATTTTTTTTATATTATAATTTTTTCCCTACCCTCCAGTTCAGTATATAGATCCAATTGTGAAGAACTGGCCAGAAACTCAATTGAATTACTTAATTTTTCTAAAGCCATTTTATTTACAATGTATATTTATATAGATGTCTATGTCTAACATTAAATGAAAATCCAGTATTCTGAAGCGTAGTTTAGGCGGAAAAACTCGACAAACCGACGGACGCAGTTACTTTCGCTATTATAATATTACTAAGGTTGTATGAGCTTGTATTATGGGTGCTATACAACTGATATAAATACATACATATTGTACATAAAAAACACCCAGACCGATACAATCATAGTCATGAATACAAATATGTGCACCGTGCGAGGATCGAACCCGCCACGATCGGAAGCAAAGCGGTGTTCCAAACCGCTAGACCACCGAGACCGTCAAATACAATGACGCATCAAGATACTCGTGCGATAAATATATAAAAAACCACTTACTCTAAAAAATGTCATTGTGGATCCTCCATTGAGTGTTCCATACTGTACGCTGGTCTGAGCTGCTAAATCTGCCGCACTTTGTATTGGTAGTACGGTCCTTTCTACGGTCAGGAAAGCTGCTAAATTCGCAGTGTACGAGGACAGGATGATCAGAGTGAAGAACCACCAAATACCCCCAACTATCCTCGTTGAGGTTGCCTGCATGTAAAATTAAATTTACTATAATAATTTAGTGCAAATTGGTAGTTTGTATTCACATTTTAAGTTAATAAATTTATTAGGATTATAGCCACTAAATTCACAGTGTACGAGGATAGGATGATCAGAGTGAAGAACCACCAATTATGGGGTACAAATATTTGGTGGTAGTTGGGGAACTACCCTCGTTGAGGTTGCCTGCACGTAAAATTAAATTTACTATAATAATTTAGTGCAAATTGGCAGTTTGTATTCACATTTTAAGTTAATAAATTTATTAGGATTGTAGCTGCTAAATTCGCAGTGTACGAGGATAGGATGATCAGAGTGAAGAACCACCAAATACCCAAAATCCATAATATTCTCGTTGAAGTTGCCTGAATATGAAATTTAAATTTTTAATTATACTAGCTGTGCCTATTATTCATCTGCGTGGTATAGTGACTTTGACCAAATAACGAAACAATATTAATAGTCTATAATATCCAAAATAGTCAAAGAAAAAATCTATTTGTTCTAGCTACAAAAATAGCGATTTTCCATACAAACTTTAAACTTTTATCCCCTATTTTATTTTACAAATTAAGCGTAACATTTCTGTTAATTAACAGCCTAGAAATAAGATAAAAAAAAGCTTGAAGCTTCTAGTTTAAAAATGACGATACTTCCACATAACCTTTCATCTCCCCTTCAACCCCTTATAACTCTTTTTTCACATTAAAATAGTGTGTGTACTATGTGCTTTCTCAGGATCTAGGCTATCAGTGTATCAAATTTCATTTAAATCGGTTCAATAGTTTTTGCGTGAAATATTGGCAACGTGCGAGGAATCGAACCCACGACCATCGAATCTTTTATTATTATCAAAATGTGGACATATCAAGTGTTGCGTTCACAACATGGACAGTTGACAATGACTCTGACTACTCCTTCAAAGATATCAGTCGTGAAGTTATCTCACTATTACCGATACTACAGTGAAAGTACCAGGAGAACATGACTCGCAAGTAGCCTACAGCCTACCGAGTAATGTGATTTTTATTCAAGTATACCAAGCGACATGTGGACATGTCAAGTGTTGCGTTCGCAACAACGACAGTTGACAATGACTCTGACTACTCCATCAAAGGTAACAGTCGTGAAGTTATCTCACTATTACCGATACTACAGTGGAAGTACCAGGAGAACATGACTCACAAGTAGCCTACAGCCTACCGAGTAATGTGTTTTTTATTCAAGTATTATCAAAATGTGGACATGTCAAGTGTTGCATCCACAACATCGACAGTTGACAATGACTCTATGTCTACCACATCTGTTATAACAGTCGTAACGCTATATTATTGTTATAAACATTTAACTCTATAATAATTACCTTAGGATTAAGACCAGAGCCCTGTCTTAAGAATGTGCCAGTTATGAACCAAAATGAGTTGCAAACGCTGAACTGATTCGTGAGGAGCTTCGTCTCGTGTCCACACACGTGGGTACTGCTTGACCTGAAAACAGACAATAACAATTTTTATTTATTTTTACAATTAACAGCAACGCCAAAGTTTGTGAGTATGGATGTCTATTGACAACTGATATAAATACTTAGATACATAGTGTTAGGGTTCGCATGGATAATTTCGAGAAATCTGATATTTTATATTAAAAGAAGGTAGTTTCATTATTACTGGGTATCGTTAAACTTATATAACCCCCACTATATCTTCTCTGTATAAAAGGGAGGGTTTTTGTAGGCCGCGGCATTCGGTCTTTGAGCACAGGATGTGCTGGTTGTATTTTAATTGCTAAAGTGAATTGTGTTAGAGACATAGTTAAATTAATGTTATATAGATTTTATAAATACATATATAGTACATAGTTTTTAGTTTTTATAAATACATATATAATATATATAGAAAACACCCAGACCGATACAAACAATCATTTGACAACATTTACTTGAAAAGAATACGAGCTGACTTTCTTATCAGTTCTCATCTCGAATTCATTTCGAACTGACGGTAGATTTGACATATCATAAGAGTATGTAATAGACTATTATGAAATGAATAAAGATATTGTGAATTAGAATTTGAATCGCGAGAAACAAACCTGAGACCATCGGAAGTAAAGCGGTGTGCTACACCACTGAACCACCGAGGCCGTCTAAACTACATACTTACCATTCATAAGGCGAGAACCTGGCCATCACAAACAACGTGAAGGATACCAGGACGTACGCAGCCAAAACGTACAGCCATATCTCGATGGCCAGCGGATTGAGGAAGCTGAACAACCTCGTCGGCTGCGAAGTAGGCACCTGTACACGAGATAGCATATATTGAAGAAATTGCTTTCAACAATAAGGCCGCCATGTTGTATGTATTTTTTTTTTTGTGTATGATAATGGAATGGTGCACCCGCCTGCGCTAACGGTTTACGCTGGCGGGGCACCAGTGGAAGATGATAAGATGAGCATGAAGTCAGGTCAGTTAGCCCATCGTGACAAATTTACCAAGAATTCATCACGATGGTTTCCAGGGAGAACCACGTGGAGGTCGACCTAACATGGTACATTGCTAGCAATAGGAGTTACTAGCTCCCATTGCTAACAATCCCCTTCCCCCCTGTTGTATGTATTGCAGAAATTAGAAGTAATGTTAAGAAAAAAGGTATGTTCGAGTCAACTCAGTAGAGCGTAGCATAGTAAATGTTGAGTGGGGCATAATTTGTAAATCATAATTTTATTAAATAACATCATTACATAGTATAAAACAAACTCGCTGTCGCTGTCTGTCCCTATGTATGTTTAAATCTTTAAAACGCAACGGATTTTGAAGCGTTTTTTTTAATAGATAAAGTGATTCAAGAGGAAGTTTTATATATATAATACATACACCCGTACGGAGCCGGGGCGAGTAGCTAGTAACATATATGTAAGTAAATAAATTAAAATGTAAAGATATTCAAATTATTTATTTATAAACTCTTTATTGCACCAATAGAATTAATACATAAGAATTATACAGAAAAGAGATATGTAAGTACAAAAGGCGGTCTTATCGCTAGAAGCAATCTCTTCCAGACAACCTTTAGGTAGAGAAAATACAACAAAAGTGGTAGGTGGCGCATGAATAGAATGGAAGAATATATATATAAACGTAATAATAGGGATAGGATAATAATACCAATAAATATTAGAAGATAACACACATTATATATACTATATATAAAATATATACATACACAGAAATGCAAGTACAAAACAACAATATCATATGCAAAGAAACAAGACATAGCAAGAAGGAGTACAGGGAAATTTAAGTGGAGAGGTAATGGGATTTAACCGAGCTCTTAAAAATGGGTAGTGATTGTGCACTACGAATGGAGTAAAGTATAGAATTCCAAAGGCGAACAGCATGGACTGAGAAGAATTTACTGTAGAATGAGGAACTATGTGAAGGAGTTTTAAGGAGGTTTGATGCACTACGCAAGCCATGGTTTTGTGCCTCTCCGAGAAATGAAAATCTGTCTTTAAGATAGTTAGGAGTAACAGGATTAAAAAGAATAGAGTAAAGAAGAGAGTATATGCCAATTATGTATTACCTTAAACAATATCCCAATGCCGAGGTTCATGAACGGCTTCGTGAAGTCTATAACCGCTTCTCTAGCGTAGTTTATGGTCATAGATGCAACGGCTATGTCCGCCTTCTGGAAATAGAAAAAAAATGCAGGAGATGTTATGACGTAGGCATCCGCTAAGAAAGGATTTTGATTAATTCTACCCCCAAGGGGATGAAAGTTTGTATGAAACTTTGTCAATTTTAAACCGATCTGGCTGAGACTTTGTATGCATAAAGCTACTATGACGTAGGCATCCCCTAAGAAAGGATTTTGATAAATTCTACCCCTAAGGGGATAAATTAACGCGAGCGAAGCCGCGGACAAAAGCTAGTTAAATTATAAATAATTTAATAATAAAAAAATCTTAAAGCAACTTACCCTATCTACTAATTCCCTGACGATGCCATTCCACTGGCCAGTATCAGGGTCCCTGGCTCCATACATGTTATCTGGTACCAGACGAAGTTTGTAGTGGAAACCAGCTCTCGCTGCCACTTTAGCGAGGAGATCTATGCAGAAACCCTCGAATCGAGCGTTGCCTTGAAGATTCCACCCGTCTTTCACCATAACGTATGGTTTCTCCTAGAAGTAGTAAAAATTCAAAATATCTTTATTCCTGTAGGTCTATTACAGACTCTTATGATATGTCAAATCTACCGTCAGTTTAGAGAGATTTCGAGCTAAGAGGAACTGACAAGAAACTCGGCTCTTATTTTTTATCCTGTTTCTTCTCTTATCTTATCCTTTTTTTTTTAATAACAAGGGACAAACTAGCATGCGGCTCACCTGATGGTAAGTGATTACCGCCGCCCATGAGCACCCGCAACACACCCACACATGGTGAATTTATCACGATGTGCTAACTGACCTGACCTCATGTTCACCTTATCATCCTCCACTGATGCCCCGCCAGCGTAAACCGTTAGCGCAGGTGGGTGCACCATTTCATTATCATCCTCTAAAAAAAACACACCCACACACACACAAGGGAATTGCAAGTACGTTTACCTTTTAAAAAGGAATAAGCTCTTTTCTTGACGGTTTCAATATCGTATCGGTTCGGAAATACCATTGCTGGAAGGTGATTTCACAATGTGGTTGTGCGTGGCAAGAAGTTTCTAGAAAACCGCACACCGCATCCTTCTTCTCTTATCTTCCTTCTCTTACCCTCTTCCCCCTAAGTGCTTTCGAGTTAAACTACGAAATCGATTTAAATGAAATTTGGTGCACAGGTAGTTTAGACCCTGAATAAGGACATAGGCTACTTTTTAACACATCGTGGCAAATTCACCAGGAACTTGACATGGTTTCCAGGGGTAACAGTAATTCAATTGAGTTTCTTGCCAGTTCTTCTCAATTTACATCTATATAATCCGAACTGGACAGTATCATCAAAAATAAAATTATAATGTAAAAAGTCGCTTCGCTGACGTTCATATATGCTTAAAATTTCCTAAAACTGAATAAATGATTTTTTTAATTTGAATTTGAATTTGACATATTATAAAATCAAAGTCGCTATCGCTGTCTGTTTTTATATATGGATGAAATCTTTAAAACTACGCAAACGGATTTTGGCGGGGCACCTTTAAAAGATAAGTGATTCAAGAGGTCAGGTTAATATATTATAACATGTACACCCGAACAAATGCCAGGGCGAACCGCGTAGTTCAGTTACATTTTTTTTATGGATGAGTCCACATTACTAACATCTCGACGACCTCGGTGGTCTAGCGGTCAAGCACACCGCTTTACGGCCGATGGTCGCGGTTCGATTCACGGTCACGGCACAAACATTTGTATTCATGATGATTGTTTGTATCGGTCTGGGTGTTTTCTATGTATAATATGTATGTATTTACAAAAAAAATATATATATGTATAGGTATCAGTTATCTAGTACCCATAACACAAGCTCTAGCTAGCTTAACTTGGGTCTAGATGGCGCTGTGTGAATTGTCCTGAGATTAGTATTTATTAGTATTTATCTCCTTTTCCCCCAGTTACATATATTACTAAGCCGTAAAATAAATACCTCAACTGTAACGACGGTAAGGGTAACATTAGGAGGTGGATCTCTTCTGTACGCGGCCGGGTCGGTCACCTCCAGACCTTCGCCTGGTGTCCAGTGCCCGGAGAGTACTACTCCGCCATCTTCCCCCCCTGACAACCTCATCAGCTGCAGAGTGAAGTTGCTTCGTATCTCATTCTTAAACTCTATAGGACCTGTCAGGCCATGGGCTTTCACCTGGAAATAGAGTAGAATAGAAATAAGAAGAATCTTTATTCAACTAAACTTAACATAAACAGTTCTTGAATAGTCATATGTTTCTGTTATAGAAATAGAAATAATCTTTATTCAAATAAACTCATTATAAGCACTTTTGAATAGTCATATTTTTGATTCTACCACTCATTCGGAAGGCAGATTCATCACAAGAAGAACGAGCGAGAAACTTGTGTGCTGCTCTTTTTAATAATTCTACCACTAATTCAGAATGCTGTCTTATCTCAAGAAGAATAAGTTTAGATATAATTGTAAATGTTAAATAAAATTCAAATATCAATTTGTGCGCGTTGTTCTAAGTTAATAATTCTCATCTTGTCATCCTCCACTGGTGCCCCGCCAGCGTAAACCGTTAGCGCCGGCGGGTGCACCATTCCATTGTCATCCATAACAAAAATAATACACATATCCATGGGAAGTTTGAAGGAAAGAAAGGGAGTGTAATAAAAAGAAAAGTAGTACTAAAGGTAAAGGAAATGAGATTTTACTGACATTTTGAAATGTGTGTGTCATAAGTTAGAACTCGTCCCACATCTTGTCATACAATGTCACATTTGGTTGGATTCCTCCCCACTAGAAATTTACTTATGGGAAATAAGTAAATTCCTATTATTTTTACTTTTCGATCGCTCCCCCGTCCAATTCAAACGGGTATCGAAATTACAACGAACTGAGATTCGAATCCGTAGCGGTGCCCTCAGACTAAAGTCCTATCCGTCAGGCGGGAGTTGGGCTTCACCCGCTCCATAAGTCCTTCCTTTGGTTTGTAGTGCCATCTGCACTCGCCCCCTATCGTCCGGTGAAGCTGTAAAGGCCAGCTGCGGCCAAAAGTATTAGAGTAGTCCGAAAAAAATAATTACTTATACTTTAAAGCTAGCAAAAGATTGAACCATAAACTTACAGAATTAATGCTGTCCAGCAAGGTATTTCCTTGGGACCATGGCGCTTCGTTCTCGCAGGAGACGTTGGCCGATTGAAGACCTTCCGTGGAGGCTAGAGCCATAGCCAGGGTCTGTACTGCATCGTACAGTAAAGCTGGTTCAGTCTGGAATTATTATGTTCAATAATAATAATAATAAACTCTTTATTATTTAAACAGAAGAAACAATAAGAAAAAAAATAATAAAAAAAAACAGTAATAACAAAAGGCGGTCTCATCGCTATAAGCAATTTCTTACAGTCAATCTAGAATAGAGGACTTATTTATTTATTTCAATACTGTATCAATATCAATGTCCCGGCAAACGTTGTTTTGCCTTAAAATAAAAAAAAAAATTAGGGGTGGACTACCCCTAACATTTAGGGGGATGAAAAATAGATGTTGGCCGATTCTCATGAAATTTTGTGAGCGTATTGAGTAGGTCTGAGAATCGGCCAACATTTATTTTTCATCCCCCTAAATGTTAGGGGTAGTCCAACCCAAATTTTTTTTTATTTTAAGGCAAAACAACGTTTGCCGGGACAGCTAGTTTTATTATATATGTACATAGAATAGGTAGGTGGCACACATTTCACTATTTACTTACTAATACATATACATACATAAATTAGGTATAAATATATAAACATACATACAGGATTCCCAGAAGTCAACGTCAAGCTTTTGGGGGTAATCAGAAAAATAAAAAAAAGACATGTTAATTTTTTTTAACGTTATGAAGGTTTAAAAAAATTTAAAAAACGTGTAATGAACTTTCTTCCTGCAAAATATTAACTTTTTGTTTTTTTTGTACATGTTAAAAAACTTTGTAATTCACAATAAAAGTAAAAGTTAAATTTGTGTATTTTATTGAAATCGAAATAATTTCATCAACCAACTTAAACCATAAAAAAAATGTACGGCTACTATTTTAGCCAAAAAAGTTGACGACATTTAAAATGGTAAACATCAGTTTGTTATTGTTTAGGCATGAAAATTTTTTTATGTGCAATCACTAACTCTTTTGAACACCTGTATATATTCTACCTGGCATAAACATGATGATAAAATCTTTCATTTTTAAATGTATTGAATATATTTATAGAAATAGAAATAATCTTTATTCAAATAAACTCATTACAAGCATACTTAAAATACTCTCGCAATGACTCCCTGGAACCCATACCATAAATTGACTAGTTAGGTCCTAACGCCTTAACCATATAATAACATACATAACGGCGATTTCAATATACATTTATTGGGGAAAAGGCGATTGTTAGTAATGTGGATGCAGCAATTTACCATTTCAGGTTGGTACCATGGTACCCCCAGGAAACCGTGTTAAATTCCTGGCAGATTTGTCACAATGTGCTAACTAACCTGATCTCATACGGCCTTATTACAAAAAGATAAACCTGGTTTAGCACTAGTAATAAACCATTCACTAATGTATTCCTTATTACAAAATGAAGTTTATCTCTAAATCGTGATTCGTCTATGGTCTAAAGTTAGACCTGCGATGCCCCTAGTTTAACAGTGGTCTAAATGCAAAAAATCGAACTCCCATTTTAAAAATTGTATTTTAAGTTGTTGTTTTTCGAAAAATATTTTAACTAAATTAAAAATATATTTTAAAATTAGATTTTCAGCCTAATAGTACATTAACAAATATTATATATTAATGAAATAGTTATAATGAAGACATAGATAAATGGAAATAACACCATTTTTAGTTAATAAATTTTTATTTGAAGTAATATTATTTCTCCGTATAGATCTTTTCAGTTTTCTGGTAAAACGGAACGTAATTGTACATTAACAGACATGAGTATATATTGTATGTAATACATAATGAACGATTTTTCAAATTCAAATTCAAATTCAAAATATCTTTATTCATGTAGGTCTATTACAGACTCTTATGATATGTCAAATCTACCGTCAGTTCGGAATGATATCGAGATGAGAAGAACTGATAGTTTATTTTGTTTTATTTAACTGTAGTACTAAATAGTCCTCTGTTAGATCTGGATTCGTAATAATGTTAGGTTTATTTCAAGTATTAACATTAGGAATGGTTTAAACCTCGACCATTTAGACCACGTTTCGTCCGAGTTTTAACAGATTTTTTGTAATAAGACCAATAGTCATCTTATCCACCACTGGTGCCCCGCCAGCGTAAACCGTTACCGCAGGTGGGTGCACCATTCCGTTATCAACCATAAAAAACCTACCTTTATTTGTCCATCGCTGAGTATCGACGCCCCTATGGGATGGAACTTCTCCATCACTTGCAGCGCCTCCTTCACTTTATCAGACCCTCGGTCCACTAGTCTCCACCCGCTCATGTTTACTCTATTATAATAGAAATCTTCAAAGTCGAAGAGTTCCATATCCTGAAAATGCGTATTTTTCTTTAAATTACACTTTGAACAAAGTCGTCTACGTGTCAACTAGTTTTTATATAGAAATGAAGAAAAACGGAAATTCTATAATTATTATTGGCCATTTTTTTTAAATATTCATATTACTATTGTTTCTTATTTATTCTTCTTGTGATGAGACAGCTTTCCGAATGAGCGGAAGATTTAAGAATAAATTGTCGACTATTCAAAAGTGCTTAAATTAAGTGTATTTGAATAAATGATTTACTAATCTATTCTTGTCGACTATTCAAAAGTGCTTAAATTAAGTGTATTTGAATAAATGATTTACTAATCTATTCTTGTCGACTATTCAAAAGTGCTTAAATTAAGTGTATTTGAATAAATGATTTACTAATCTATTCTATTCTATACTAGCTGTCCCCGCAAACGTCCTTTCGCCATATAAATTAAAATCACTATTAACAAATAGGAGTTAGTCATAAAAGGGTGAAAATATTGGGTAGCATGTATTTTTAATGCCACATTATAAAAAAAATTGTCAAATAAAAATGTAAGGGGTGGACAACCCTTATCACTTAGGGGAGTGTCAATAGTAGGAACTCTCAGATCTACTGAATATGAATATAAAAATTCATAAAAATCGGTCAAGCCGTTTCGGTGGAGTATCGTAATTAACAATGTAATACGATATAAAAAAAAATATATATATACTTTATTTTATATAAACTATACATTTTTACGTTGTGTTACAGTTACAGTTGTGTCACATCTTGTCACACATTGTCATAATTGGTTGAATTCCTTCCCGCCATATAAAGTATGAATAAACAATATACTCGGCCTCTCACATTACAGTACAAGAAGGAAAGAGAAAGAAATACTCCCTCCGAGCGATCCCCCGTCCAATTCAAACGGTGATCGAAATTACGACGGCCTGATCCGAGATTCGAACCCCTAGCGGTGCCCTCAGACTAAAGTCGTATCCGTCAGGCGAGAGTTGGCCTTCAGCCGCTCCATAAGTCCTTCCTTTGGTTTGGAGTGCCATCTGCACTCGCCCCCTAACGTCCGGTGAAGCTGTAAAGGCCAGCTCCGGCCAACAGTATTAGAAGAGACCGAAAAAAAAAGAAAGAAATATAAGAGTACTTACAAATGAGGTAAATATATAGTGATAGTCTTCATTGTTCATTTGCAGCTGTAGGATCTGTAAAATTCAAAGTCTTTATTTGTAAAGGTCTTAGAATAAACTAGCTGTTCTCGCGACTTCGTTCGCGTGGAATATAACTTTATTTTTCTAAAATAAAAGAAAGTTTCTAAAATAAGAGTAGCCTAAGTTACTCTTTATTACACCAGCTACCTCCCAAAAAAAGTCCCATCAAAATCGGTCCAGCCATTTCAGAGATTAGCCGGAACAAATAGACAGACAGACAAAATTTGGTGTATGTACCGTATTTATATTCATATGCATGTAGTAAAAAACGGTTATTTCAATATTACAAACAGACACTCCAATTTTATTTATATATATAGATAATAAGTTTCACTGTTAAAAAGCACTTGACGTTTCAAGTGAAAGAGCACTTGATTCGTTTATTTACAAGTTAAATTCTTCCAACTCGAGTTGGCAGAATTCAACTCGAGTTAACTCGAATTATGCGCAACTCGAGTGAACTCGAGTTGACATATTTCAACTACGGGTATATAAAAAAAATACTCACAGCTCTAGCTAGTTGATGTATCTTCTTGGGATCTGTATCAACGACTATATGAACCACATCCTGAGCCTTTAGTTGCGTCAAAGCCCGTCTGTAATCATGTGGTCCATTACATCTGACTGCATACATGTTACGGCCATCTTTTGCTATATTTAATACGTTTAGTTCACCTGAAAAATAATACAGAGAAATTCAGTGAAAATGTAAACTATACCATGTGACAGTTTCATTAAGGTTTCTTTTCACTCTTGAAAGTTGCCGCGATTTACAAATTATGACTTAGTATTTCACCTGTACCGCATTCGTAATATATTGCATCATTACATATTATAAAATTATAAAATAAAGTTGCTGTCGCTGTCTATGTATGCTTAAATCTTTAAAACTACGCAACGGATTTTGAAGTTATTTTTTCTAATAGATAGGGTGATTCTAGAGGAAGGTTTACATATATATAATATACCCGTGCGAAGCCGTGGCGAGTAGCTAGTCATTAATAAATGTAGTAACTTAAATTTAACAACTGTTAAATGAAGCAATCGTTAAATGAAGCAACTGTCACCCGCACCATGCTACAGCGCACATAGTATGAAGTAACACTGTTTGTCAATCTGTAGTACTTTTATCAATCTGATAGTTATTTATAGACAAACAGTCCTTTTTGTCAATCTGATAGTTATAGACAAACAGTCCTTTTTGTCAATCTGATAGTTATAGACAAACAGTCCTTTTTGTCAATCTGATAGTTATAGACAAACAGTCTTTTTTGTCAATCTGATAGTTATTTATAGACAAACAGTCCTTTTTGTCAATCTGATAGTTATAGACAAACAGTCTTTTTTGTTAATCTGATACTTATAGACAACAGCCCTATTTCACAATATGATAGTTATTTATAGACAAACAGTCCTTTTTGTCAATCTGATACTTATAGACAAACAGTCTTTTTTGTCAATCTGATACTTATAGACAAACAGTCCTATTTGTCAAGCTGATACTTATAGACAAACATTCTTTTTTGTCAATCTGATACTTATAGACAAACAGTCCTATTTGTCAATCTGATACTTATAGACAAACAGTCTTTTTTGTCAATCTGATACTTATAGACAAACAGTCCTATTTGTCAATCTGATACTTATAGACAAACAGTCCTATTTGTCAATCTGATAGTTATTTATAAACACGGTTTCACCCGCAGGAAATTTATAACCTGTATTATTGTCATATCATACGAGATCTCAAACTAGTAGCTGGCTCAAACTGGACATTAGTAACATAAAATCTATGTTTTGTTTCGTCTTTAAAACAGACGTGAACAATTCACAGCGCACAAACAATACAACAACAATACAAATTCATAGATACTTTTTTCTAGTAAATACATAGAAAACACCCAAACCGACACAAACAATTATACACAGGAATACAAATGTTGGCACCGTGCGAGGAATCGAACCTGCGACTATCGGAAATAAAGCGGTGTGCTAAACCGCTAGACCACCGAGACCGTCAATTATTTCGTTATTAATTTCATTATTCTTTATAGAAATGGAATTTTCTGACCGGGGCAGAAGTTCATGAAGTTCATGAAATTCATGATTCTTCTTCCTCTTACGATGTGGTTGTCTTTGGGATAAGAAATGTGAAGCAAATTATGATGAACTCTTACCATATCCATAGTCTTCGTAAATGATGCCCATATTAGTCCAATTGAGGTAGACGGCGAGGTCAATGAAAGCTTTGTCTATCAGCTCCCGAGACGGATACAGATTTACAGTATATGTATCTGTTTGATTGTGTGCTGAAAGTACAAGAAAATAATTATTAGTATTCGCTCTGGCCCTTCGTTGGATCCACCGTCTAATTCAAACAGGGATGGAAAATACGATAGCCCGAGATATGGTTCGAAATCTAACGGTGCCTTCAGGCAAAAGTCGTATTGCGTCAGGTCGGAGTTGGCCTTCACCCGCTCCATAATTCCTTTCTTTGGTTTGGAGTGCCATCTGCACTGGCCCCTTTTTTTTACCAGGGAGGTGTAAAGACCAGCTGCGACCATTAGAATAGTTACAAGCTTTCCATCAGGTGAATCGCCAGCTTTATAACCAAAAATATTTAAAATCGTAATCGTATGGAGTGCCATCTACACTCGCCCCCTATCGTCCGTTGAAGCTGTAAAGGCCAGTTGCCGCCAACAGCATTAGAGTAGTCCTAAAAAAGGACTCCAGCTGCTCTATAAGTCCTTCCTTTGGTTTGGAGTGCCATCTACACTCGCCCCCTATCGTCCGTTGAAGCTGTAAAGGCCAGTGCATTAGTCTGCTCCATAAGTCCTTCCTTTGGTTTGGGGTGCCATCTACACTCGCCCCCTATCGTCCGGTGAAGCTGTAAAGGCCAGTTGCCGCCAACAGCATTAGAGTAGTCCTAAAAAAGGACTCCAGCTGCTCTATAAGTCCTTCCTTTGGTTTGGAGTGCCATCTGCCCCTTATCGTCCGGTGAAGCCGTAAAGGCCAGCTGTGGCCAGTGGCCAACAGCATTAGAGTAGTCCGAAAAAAAGGACTTAAGCCGCTCCTTAAGTCCTTCCTTTGGTTTGTAGTGCCATCTACACTCGCCCCCTATCGTCCGGTAAAGCTGTAAAGGCCCGCTGCGGCTAACAGCATTATAGTAGTCCGAAAAAAAGGACTTTAGCCGCTCCATAAGTCGTTCCTTTGGTTTGGAGTGCCATCTAAACTCGCCCCCTATCGTCTGGTGAAGCTGTAAAGGCCAGCTAAGGCCAACAGCATAGAGTTGTTCGAAAAAAGGACTTAAGCCGCTCCACAAGTCCTTCCTTTGGTTTGGAGTGCCATTTGCACTTGCACGCTATCGTCCAGTAAAGCTGTAAAGGCCAGCTGCCGCCAACAATATTAGAGTAGTCCGAAAAACAGAACTTCGGCCACTCCATAAGTCCTTCCTTTGGTTTGGAGCCATCTGCACTCATCCCCTATAGTCCGTTGAAGCTGTAAAGGCCAGCTGCGGCCAACAGCATTAGAATAGTTAAAAAAAAGTAAATATAATATAATGGACGTGGAATAAAATAGAAACATCTATTCAAAAAAGCAACACACAAATTTCTTGCTCATTCTTCTTGTGATGAATCTGCATTCCGAATGAGTGGTAGAATCAAAATAGGACTATTCAAAAGTGCTTGTAATGAGTTTAATTGAATAAAGATTATTTCTATTTAAAGAAAATTACTCGTGAGCGTGTACCAAGAGTAAGGACTTGTCTGCTCTGATAACTATGACAGATTTATTACTCTTTTACGTTACCTTTATCATCGCACCGCTTGCCATCGACAGGGAATTCATCCCCACACGCTAGAACCCAAGTGGTCTTTGACAGAGATTTCAGAGGAGTTTTCTCCTGCGTACACTTGGATTGTGGAATGAACTACCTACCGAGGTTTTCTCACGAGACTACATCATGGGGTTTTCAAGAAGGGTATATTAAGGTTTCTTAAGGGTCGGCAATTCGCACGTGACACCTCTAGTGTCTCAGTCGTACATAGGGTACGGTAACCATTTACAGATGGTTATTATTATTACATGATTTATCAGATGGACCGTATGCTTGTTTACCACCATCTTAGTATAAAAAATGTACTTTGTCAAACTTGCTATTTCGCAGTTGTATTCACACAAAATCCTAAATATATAATGCTGAACAACATATATTTAAAATAGCAACACACAAGTTTCTCGCTCATTCTTCCTGTGATGAGACAGCTTTGTGACATCAAAATCGGTTCACCTACAAATAGATCTGAGGTAGCACCTCCTTTTTCTATATCCTTATGAATATTATAAATGTGAAAGTAGGGATATTCGTCACACTTTCACGCAAAAACTACTGAACCGATCTTCATGAAATTTTGTACACATGTTCTTGGAGGTATCAGAATGAACATAAGATATTTTTTTATTAAAAAAAAAACAAATATAAACAGAAAAAACAAAAAAATAAAATATCAGCATTTTGCTACTTCAGCGCCATCTAGCAGCCAAGAATAATGTTATGCGATCGAAGCCGCGGGTAAAAGCTAGTTTGAATATATACTCACTTGAATAATGGTCCGGAGCTACTTTAAAATGTGGTGTATGCAGAGCTGTACACAAAGCGCCGATTGTAGAGCTCAGCAGTGGACCAGCGCTGCTGAACAGAGCTACAGCTCCCGACTTTATCTGCAGACACGCTGTCAAATAAAAGGCATTTTTATATAATTAAAATGGCAAACAATACTGACGTCCCACCCGATCATCATCATCATCATCATCATCATCGCAGCCCGGAAGACGTCCACTGCTGGACATAGGCCTCCCCCGAAGATCTCCACGACGATCGGTCCTGCGCTTCTCGCATCTAATGCCTTCCAGCGATCTTGACCAGATCGTCGGTCCACCTTCCCACCTGATGGTAAGTGGTAATTGTCGCCTTATCATGTGACGTCCGTAGTATCCTTAATACGGTGCCAATCTGAAGTACGACGAGATCCGGTCTACATACACTATAATTTCACTGGCCATATCTCTCAATAAACTGTCTATAAATTTATGTTCTCCTGGTACTTTTAATGTAGTTTCGCTTCTTTGTCATTATAATGGTAAGCAAGCTCATCAGCTTGCTTGCCACTTACCATCAGGCGGACCATCGTCTGCCTGATGGTAAGTGGTAACGGTCACCTATACACATGAACAGCACTCTGGACTACATCATCACCTGTAGCACGTAGCATCCCTTAATACCTCGCCAGTCTGAAGGACTACAAGGTCTGGTCTACATACACTGTAATTTCACTGGCCATATCAACAAACTGCCTATAAACTCATGTACTCCTGGTACTTTTAATGTAGTTTTGCTTTTTTACTACTTTTTTTTTGTAATTGTAACAAACAAGCTTCCACCTGATGGTAAGTGGTAACCGTCGCCTATATACATGAACAGAACTACAGACATCACGTTATCATGTGACACCCGTAATACCACTCATGTTACCATTCCAGAGTACTAAGATGTCACGCCTCTTATCCTGTAATTTCACTGTCTAATCTGCACCCTACAACCGAAACATCTTACAAAGCAAGCTGCTTGGCTGAAATAGTGCTAAGTTTACCTATATGTCTGTATGTATGTTTATATGTTCATAATTTTAGACCACCTATAACACACGTGGACGTGTTCTAAATAACGATTCATCACTAAAAGATTACTAATGACGAGCGTGTATGGCAATAGTTGTTCATGCACGGGATTTTCATTTAATGTTAGACATAGACACCTATATAAATATACATTGTGAATATATTCAATTTCATACAAATTGAGGATCACTCAATTTTGAAAACCTTTTCATTCTATACATTGACTTAACTATCTGATGGCAATTTTAAGTAACTACGTGGTCGAGTGGTGGGCCGGGTTATTGGGCTCCCTAAAATATGGTCGAGCGCAGTGATGGCTGGCTCATCCGTCATACTCGTGAACGAGTGCTGCTTGTGGGAACTGGTCTGCTCTACTCACTACGACTGACTTACTCTAATTTCGTTGCTCAAGCAGTTGATTTTACATTTAACTAGTTACTCGCCCCGGCTCCGCACGGGTGTACATGTATTATATATATAAACCTTCCTCTTGAATCATTCTATCTATTTAAAAAAACCGCTTCAAAATCCGTTGCGTAGTTTTAAAGATTTAAGCATATATAGGGACGGACAGACAGCGACAGCGACTTTGTTTTATACTATGTAATGATGATATTTTCTATATTTAATTGAATTAGTGCTATTTGGCAGTTTGTATTCAGATACTTCAACTTGTTTAACCAGTTAGTTATATATTCAATATTTTTTCTATTTGTAAAGTTAACAATTGGCAAAATTAAACTTAAAAATGTAAAGTAACAATAAAATTATTTTAAAAGCAACACGCAAGTTTCTTGCTCGTTCTTCTTGTGATGAGACAGGTGACTTCCGAATGAGCGGTAGATTAAAAAAAATGTGATGACTATTCAAAAGTGCTTCAATTTAAGTTTATTTGAATCGAATGATTTTCTATTCTATTCTATTCTAAGGACAACTTTCAAATTCGAGTGTTCCTTGTACTTTTTTAAAAGTTATATAATACAATGTAGCAAAGAGGATGCATACACCTATAAATAGAAATTCCTAACGTCTTAAATACATAAAAAAATTGCATTCTGTGCTTCGTCTATTTGTTCATAAAAAAAAGGCCTACAAATTGAGAATATTATTTTTTTATAAAGTCTTTGTCCTAAGGCTGTCTGTAAGAGATTGCATTAGTGATAAAACCGTCTTTTGTACTTAGTTTTATATTTTATGTTTTTAATTTTATTCATATTCCTTTATATGTTGATGCAATAAAGTGTCATAAATGTTAACTATACATATAAATAAAATTGGAGTGTCTGTTTGTAATATTGAATTAACTATGTTTTACTACATGCATATGAATATAAATACGGTACATACACCTAAATAACATTTTTTACAATTTTTGTCTGTCTGTCCGTTTGTCTGTTTGTTCCGGCTGATCTCTGAAATGGCTTTACCGATTTTGACGGGACTTTTTTTGGCAGGTAGCTGATGTAATAAGGAGTAACTTAGGCTACTTTTATTTTAGAAAAATAAAGTTAAATTCCACGCGGACGTAGTCGCGGGTACAGCTAGTAAATAATATAATAATAGATCACTCCCTACAAACAGTTTCACGTTTGCCAAAAATCTCCATTCTCCAAACGTGGAAATAATTACACGAAAATCCGACAATTATGAAAAAAGGTAATAACTTATCAGCGTGACCACTTATTCTTCGACTTAAAACGGGACATCCGTTTATTAAGGTCCATTAACAGATAGTCAATAAAAAAACACTTTTTAAATTATCTATTCCATAAAAATTACGAATGAAAAAATATAACCGATAAATATAATTAATAATATAAATTTATTACATAACCTAATTGTATAACTAAGAACCTAAAATTAAAAAGCTTAAAAAGAATATATAATATGATGACTAAATTATAATATTTATAGTATTATTATATAAACATTAAAAAAGAATACGAGCTGAGTTTCTTGTCAGTTCTTCTCATCTCGATATCATTCCGAACTGAAGTGGATTTGACATATTATAAGAGTCTGTAATAGACCTACATGAATAAAGATATTTTGAATTTGAATTTGAATTATTTTATAGTATTATTAATTATAAATAATTAATAATACTAGTAATAAATTTAAATTGTAGCGCAGATTCATGTACTTTCATATTCATAATTAATATTTCTACAATATATAATCTATATTTATATTATCTATTCCGTCAAAAAAGAAGTTACGAATTAAAAAATTATATTGTTTTAAAATATAATTAAAAATTTTGTTTTACATTTATATTTATCGGATAAAAATAAAATGTTTAGTTATATTTATATACTGTGTTTCCGCGACTTCGTCCTCGTGGATTTCACTTCATTTTTCTAAAAAAAAGTAGCCTAAGTTACTCCTTATTACATAAGCTACCTGCCAAAAAAAAGTCCTGTCAAAATCGGTAAAGCCATTTCAGAGATTAGCCGGAACACACAGACAGAGAGACAGACAAAAATTGTAAATAATGTCATTTTGGTGCAGGTACTGTATTTATATTCATATGCATGTAGTAAAAAACAGTTAGTTCAGAGATTAGCCGGAACAAACAGACAGACAGACAGACAAAAATTGTAAATAATGTCATTTTGGTGCAGGTACTGTATTCATATTCATATGCATATAGTATAAAACAGTTAGTTCAATATTGCAAACAGACACTCCAATTTTATTTATATGTATAGATTTATCGGAGGAACAAATTTGCTTTTTTAAGAACATTTTAAGCAAGGATGACACTCTTGGCACGTTTTTTTATACTCACCTTAATCACCAACCACCCACAACCGGCTCGTCTACTCAAAATTAAACTTTTTAAAATTCCTAACAGTAGAACTCAGTTTATGGGTCTAACTCCTTTTCGTTTCGTGCTCAGCTATGGAATAATCTCCCTTTGGAGATCCAAAAAAGTCCATCTAGTGGTTCTTTTAAGAAAAAGTTAAAGTCATATTACCTTTCTACTGCTATGTGATTAGTGTCATCATTGTATATATATATCTTTGTAGTATTTATTGTTTGATTTAGTATATATTTATGTTTATCATTTTATCATTTTTTGTTTAGGTATTCAAGTACATATTATATATTAATTTTTTTTTTTATCTTTATGTAAATTGTATTAGTATCTGTATTTTGGACATTATATTTTTATGTTTAGTTTTAATTAATTTTGACATTTTCATAAAAAATATAATTTGCACATTTTAACCCACTCAACAGTTCCTATGCCACGCTCTATTGTTGTAATTAATATACTTACAAATGTATTTAAGTGCAATAAAGAATATTAAAAAATATTATCCCGTGTATCAAATGTATTTAAGTGCAATAAAGAATATTTAAAGTTTCGCACAATCACCGAAATCGGGACAATTTTGCGTCCCACAGTCCATTTCGGGGACACCGGTACTTATATTTATAAAACGGGACTGTCCCGTCCAAAACGGGACGTCTGGTCACATTATCAATAACGGATGGCAGGTCGAGCGCGGGAAACGCGATATGACGGTGCAATGGCGGCCGGAAGTGGCCGGATGGAGGGCCCTCGGCGATTTATTAAAGTCGAAATTTTCAAATTAAATCTTCATAAATTTCTTTTTGTTTATTTTATATAATACTTAATTATATTTGTATACATTTTGAAATATTTACAAGCGAGTTTGGATATTACAAACGAGTTTATATACAAGGCTAGCTGTACCCGTGACTTCGTCCGCGTGGAATTTACGTACTTTATTTTTCTAAAATAAAAGTAGCCTAAGTTACTCCTTATTACATCAGTTACCTGCCAATAAAAGTCACGTTTTGTTAAACTCCTCAAGAGCTTGGCCGATTTTTATGAAGCTTTTATGTGTATATTTATTATCAGACTTACTGAATACACATAAAAGCTTCATAAAAATCGGCCAAGCTCTTGAGGAGTCTGATCCACACCATATTTGTCTTTTTTTAAGTAACATTTTCACCATCGCACCGCTCGCCATCGACAGGGAATTCATTCCCACACGCTGGAACCTAAGTGGTCTCGGACAGTGCGGTTTCAGAGGAGCTTCCTCCCGCGTACACTTAGATTGTGGAATGAACTTCCTGCCGAGGTTTTCTCACGAGACTACAGCATGGGGTTTTTCAAGAAGGGTATATTAAGGTTTCTTAAGGGTCGGCAACGCGCACGTGACACCCCTGGTGCTTCAGGCGTCCATAGGCTACGGTAACCATTTACCATCAGATGGGCCGTATGCTTGTTTGCCACCATAGTAGTATAAAAAAAAAAACATTTATATTATTCGGCATTAAAAGTACATCCAACACATTTAATGGAATTAGGTATTATTTTGCGGAAGTCCATTTCACTACGCGATGAATTTATACTATTTTGTTTAATTCCGCTACAATTAACATGTGTGAGACTACGAATATTCGGTGTGGAAACTTGACCAGCGCTACGACCTTCTCCAGTGGCGATCAAATTCCGAAAGTTATTGAGTCTACACCCATATCGCGACATGTGTTTCGTATCTTAACGAGGCATAACATATGCTGCTGGTCACACATTCCCTAATAATATATCTGTATTTTTGTAATCATATACAATCTCATTCGAAAAGAGAATAAGCGACGAAATTCCTCTCAGTCCTGTTACTCGAAAGCTCGTTTGAAAACAGAATAAGAGCCAAGTTCTTGTCAGTTCTTCTAACTAAAAAGTACTCCTAGATTTGACAAATCATAAGAGTCTGTAATAGACCTACGAACAAGACTTGGTAAAACTTTTAAACAAGGCATTAGTATAAAAATTAAAATGTATAATAAACTACATATGCACATAAGAGAATTACCCCCAAAACAATTCAAAACAAAAATAAAATCTTTTTTTAAAAAACATCCTTTTTATAATATTAGCAAGTATTTAGACCTAAATATAATCATGTCGTAATTATGTTATTAGTTATTATTAATGTAATTTTATTTATTAATGTAATTGTAATTTGACGACCTCGGTGGTCTAGTGGTTTAGCACACTGCTTTACGTCCGATGGTCGCGGGTTCGATTCCTCGCACGGCACAAACATTTGTATTCATGAGTATGATTGTTTGTGTCGGTCTGGGTGTTTTCTATGTATTTAATTTGTATGTATTAATATGTATGTATTTACGAAAAAAAAATATCTATGTATTTGTATCAGTTGTCTAGTACCCATAACACAAGCTTTAGCTAGCTTAACTTGGGTCTAGATGGCGCTGTGTGATTTGTCCTGAGATTATTATTATTATTATTAATTGGATTGAATTCATATAAATATGAATTACTGTATGTTATGACTTGCCATATATGTAAAGAAGTTTTTTACATTGGTTTATAAACGAAATATGAATATGAATAAAAATTTGATTTAATTACCTTTTTTGTAGGTACTGAAGGAGTCCTTCACGGTAGTGTATTGTATATCATATATTAATGTACTGTTAGGCAGCAGATTCCTCTCCTTATTTATCCTGTATACTGCGTACTTGAAAGCCAGCTCTGCGCTGCCCCCCCGCGCCTCCTCCGTGAAGATAGCACCTGAGTATAAAAAAGTTGATGAAGAAAGAAAGAAAAAAAGAAAATTGTTTATTTGGTACATAGCATACTGAAAATAATTTTTAAATTTTAATTTACATTTTATCGGATTATATTAATTTTATAGTACCAAATAGGTCTCCGCTCAGTATATGTCGTGACGGGTGCCACGACGCTTTTATTCTGTGGATACCTTACTAATACCATAATATTACCATAGATAATAAATATATAATAATAATAAAACACATAGATCTAGGCGGATAACATAGAGTAAACATTTACGACATACTACCATATATGTATAAATAAACATCAAACATTTACTGAAACAAAATAAACATAAAGTTCTGGTGACACTAGTAGGCTGACACCTTGCATTACCCTGCACTTGGAGTGCACACACAGCACAGTTTTCTGAGTGAGGATGAGTATTTTTTTAAATTTATTTTTAAAAATCTGCACAATTAATATGTACATAGTAATCTGAATTAATAACCCAATGTACCATGTCAGGTTGATCTCCACGCGGTTCCATCTGTACACCATCGTAATAATCGTGAATTTGTCACGATGAGCTAACTGGCCTGACCTCATGTTCATCTTATCATCCTCCACTGGTGTCCCGCCAGCGTAAACCGTTAGCGCCGGCGGGTGCACCATTCCGTTATCATCCATTAAAAAAAATATGCACACATATAAATTGATTATTTACCACCATCTGCTTCTTCCTTATCCCATTTATTTGTGGTCGTCGTAATCCGTTTTTCTCTTCCATTCATCCCTGTTCGCAGTCATCTCGTTATTTATTCCCTTTCTCACCCTATCATCTTTCACACAGTCCATCCATTTCTTTTTCGGCCTTCCTCTACCCTTACAACCATCCACATTCATATACATTTACAATAATAATATTATATATGAACTCCCGACATTTTGATGCTGTTTCAAACGTCTTGGTCACTAGTCGATTGAAGATGGCAGTGGATATACATGAAGCAGAATGTTCCAGAAGTTATTCTCACCAATTTTAGTAACAAGCAATCATACACGAACGCACTTACGCAATATCTTCCCATATATCTGCTATTACAACATGAAGAATGTTCCAGAAATTACTCTCACTAATTTTAATGACCGGCAACAGTATTGAACATGATCATACTCCAACGTCAATAACGCAAAATCCACACATACTTTTGCTATAACAACACGAAGAATGTTCTAGAAGTTATTCTCACTAATTTGAAACACCGGCGAGAGGGCGTCGACAAAGTCGAATATGATCAAAAGCTAACGCCATTAAAGCAACATTTTTCCATACATCTACTATCACAACATAAAGAAAGTTCCAGAAATGACACAATTTTAATAACAGAGTTGATGATCAGACCATCGCCACTAAGCGACGTTTTCCCATACATCTACTATCACAACATAAAGAACGTTCCAGAAATTACTCTCACTAATTTGATTCTGCGAGTCGTCGACAAAGTCGAACATGATCAAAAGCCAACGCCATTAAAGCTATTTTTCCATACATCTACTATCACAACATAAAGAACGTTCCATTTATCTCACCAATTTGAATCGCCGACGATAGGGCGTCGACAAAGTCACACATGATCAAAAGCCAACGCCATTAAAGCAACATTTTTCCATAGATCTACTATGACAACATAAACATTCATATACTCTCAATAATTTTATATATCTGCGAGAGGGCGTCGACAAAGTCGAGCATGATCAAAAGCCAACGTCTTAAAGCAACATTTTTCCAAGATCTACTATGACAACATAAAGAACGTTCCAGAAATTACTCTCACCAATTTGAAACATCTGCGAGTCGACAAAGTCAATCATATCAAAAGCCAACGCCATTAAAGCAACATTTTTCCATATATCTACTATGACAACATAAAGAACGTTCCAGAAATTACTCTCACTAATTTGAAACATCTGCGAGCAACGTAAAGTCGAGCATGATCAAAAGCCAACGCCATTAAAGCAACATTTTTCCACATACTTTTGCTATAACAACACGAAGAATGTTCTAGAAGTTATTCTCACTAATTTGAAACACCGGCGAGAGGGCGTCGACAAAGTCGAATATGATCAAAAGCTAACGCCATTAAAGCAACATTTTTCCATACATCTACTATCACAACATAGAGAACGTTCCAGAAATTACTCTCACCAATTTGAATCACCGGCGAGAGGGCGTCGACAAAGTCGAATATGATCAAAAGCCAACGCCACTAAAGCAACATCTTCCCATACATCTACTATCACAACATAAAGAATGTTCCAGAAGTTTCTCTCACCAATTTTAATGACCGGCGAGAGGGCGGCGACAGCGTGGAGAATGATCAGAAGCCAAGGCCACCAACGCACCATCTTCCCACTTCATCACCACCCCGGCTGATCCACGTACATACCACGCAACCTGTCAACAATAGATCATCATCATCATCATTTCAGCCCGGAAGACGTACACTGTTAAACAAAGGCTTCCCCCAAAGATGACCACGACGGTCCTGCGCTGTATCCAACGCCTTCTAGCGATCTTGACCAGATCGTCGGTCCACAATAGATTTTTAATCAAAGATAGACCGTAAACAGTCGTCTACGTGTCTACCTCAGAATCACATGTTTCAAACGTCAAGCAGCTCAGCTTACTTTGTAAGTGTTTCGGTTGTAGAATGCAGATTGGGCAGTGAAATTACAGGATAAGAGGCATTCAGTTGGACTAAGACGTAGTCCAAATCAATGGCAACGAATTACATTAAAAAAGTAAAGAAAATCGCTTGAGAAGGCATGGAATTTTCTACGTGAAATAAATAAAAATTTACGACCTCGGTGGTCTAGCGGTCTAGTACACCGCTTTATGTCCGATGGTCGCGGGTTCGATTCCTCGCACGGCACAAACATTTGTATTCATGAGTATGATTGTTTGTATCGGTCTGGGTGTTTTCTATGTATAATATGTATTTACGAAAAAAAAAATTATCAATGTATTTGTATCAGTTATCTAGTACCCATAACACAAGCTTTAGCTAGCTTAACTTGGGTCTAGATGGCGCTGTGTGATTTGTCCTGAGATTATTATTACTATTATTATAAATTATGAATGAATGAGTATAGGAGAAATACGATTTCAGCTAGAAAGAACGTCTTTTATACATCTAACAGCCCAAAGTACAGCAAAGTAACTTCAAACTCACTCACCATTGCTTAGAAACGTCCAGTCACAATATGTAGTTTAGCTAATTTTTACATACTTTAGAGTATACATTAATTTTTCTCCTCCATCTTAGGTTTTACCTTCGCATTTAGCCAATATCAAAGTTAGGGAAAATGGAACTGAGCACATATAATTTTTTTTTGGTTCGGTTTTTCCCTTTTTAGGGAAAGGCAAAAGGATCACATATTTATTAAAAATCTATTTTATTAATTCAATACTTCCTCGTTTAAAATAGTCTTTCGGAGCGCTCCTGTCATTTCTTATGGTTAATAAATGTTTTATTTTCTAAATTTAAATGACCATAATATATTTTTTATTGGTGGCCAGTGTTATTGTACGTCTTACGACAATAGTAAGCGAACCGATAAACGGGAAATAAATGTTTTGTTATTCATTTTTCCACACCAAATAGTCAAATTATTTAAAATAAATATTAGACCAATTTTAAACTCGCTATGTGGGTGTAAGTTGTACTAGTAATCCACAAGACTACGTTCAATCTATAATGATAATAATCAATTCATTAATAAACCGTTTTTATATAAAATGTCACATCTCTAGTGCGAGTGGTAAGTGAAAAAAATCACGATAAAATCCAGAGGCTTAGAGTGACAAAATCTGTTTTCCGCTGTGAAAAGTTAGACGTTATCAACACGAGACGAGAGCAACAAAAAAAATTGATTTCTCCCGAGTCTCCCGAATCTACAGATTACGTAGACGCTTTTCAGAGGGTTTCCCGCGTTAGTCGGCTCGGCGACGACATTTTTCAAGTGAATTTAAAAATGGACTGTTCCTAGTTCGTAATTCGAATATACTGTGGTTCGATATGTTTTTTTTTTGGCTGTATAAATCATCTTTTAATTCACAGTGTAAAAAGAAAAAAGTAACACTTCTATGTGAGAGTTAGTTAATCGGTGACAACATTTTTCAAGTGAATTTAAAAATGGACTGTTCCTAGTTCGTAATTCGAATATACTGTGGTTCGATATGTTTTTTTTTTTGCTGTATAAATCATCTTTTAATTCACAGAGTAAAAAGAAAAAAGAAACACTTCTATGTGAGAGTTAGTTAATCGGTGACAACATTTTTCAAGTGAATTTAAAAATGGACTGTTCGTAGTTCGTAATTCGAATATACTGTGGTTCGATATGTTTTTTTTTTGGCTGTATAAATCATCTTTTAATTCACAGTGTAAAAAGAAAAAAGTAACACTTCTATGTGAGAGTTAGTTAATCGGTGACAACATTTTTTCAAGTGAATTTATAAATGGACTGTTCGTAGTTCGTAATTCGAATATACTGTGGTTCGATATGTTTTTTTTTTGGCTGTATAAATCATCTTTTAATTCACAGTGTAAAAAGAAAAAAGAAACACGTCTATGTGAGAGTTAGTTAATCGGTGACAACATTTTTTCAAGTGAATTTATAAATGGACTGTTCGTAGTTCGTAATTCGAATATACTGTGGTTCGATATGTTTTTTTTTTGGCTGTATAAATCATCTTTTAATTCACAGTGTAAAAAGAAAAAAGTAACACTTCTATGTGAGAGTTAGTTAATCGGTGACAACATTTTTTCAAGTGAATTTATAAATGGACTGTTCGTAGTTCGTAATTCGAATATACTGTGGTTCTATTTTTGTTTTTTTTTTTTTGCTGTATAAATCATCTTTTAATTCACAGTGTAAAAAGAAAAAAGTAACACTTCTATGTGAGAGTTAGTTAATCGGTGACAACATTTTTTCAAGTGAATTTATAAATGGACTGTTCGTAGTTCGTAATTCGAATATACTGTGGTTCGATATGTTTTTTTTTTGGCTGTATAAATCATCTTTTAATTCACAGTGTAAAAAGAAAAAAGTAACACTTCTATGTGAGAGTTAGTTAATCGGTGACTACATTTTTCAAGTGAATTTATAAATGGACTGTTCGTAGTTCGTAATTCGAATATACTGTGGTTCGATATGTTTTTTTTTTTTTTTTTGGCTGTATAAATCATCTTTTAATTCACAGTGTAAAAAGAAAAAAGTAACACTTCTATGTGAGAGTTAGTTAATCGGTGACTACATTTTTCAAGTGAATTTATAAATGGACTGTTCGTAGTTCGTAATTCGAATATACTGTGGTTCGATATGTTTTTTTTTTGGCTGTATAAATCATCTTTTAATTCACAGTGTAAAAAGAAAAAAGTAACACTTCTATGTGAGAGTTAGTTAATCGGTGACTACATTTTTCAAGTGAATTTATAAATGGACTGTTCGTAGTTCGTAATTCGAATATACTGTGGTTCGATATGTTTTTTTTTTGGCTGTATAAATCATCTTTTAATTCACAGTGTAAAAAGAAAAAAGAAACACGTCTATGTGAGAGTTAGTTAATCGGTGACAACATTTTTCAAGTGAATTTATAAATGGACTGTTCGTAGTTCGTAATTCGAATATACTGTGGTTCGATATTTTTTTTTTGGCTGTATAAATCATCTTTTAATTCACAGTGTAAAAAGAAAAAATAAACACGTCTATGTGAGAGTTAGTTAATCGGTGACAACATTTTTTCAAGTGAATTTATAAATGGACTGTTCGTAGTTCGTAATTCGAATATACTGTGGTTCTATTTTTGTTTTTTTTTTTTTGCTGTATAAATCATCTTTTAATTCACAGAGTAAAAAGAAAAAAGAAACACTTCTATGTGAGAGTTAGTTAATCGGTGACAACATTTTTTCAAGTGAATTTATAAATGGACTGTTCGTAGTTCGTAATTCGAATATACTGTGGTTCGATATGTTTTTTTTTTTGCTGTATAAATCATCTTTTAATTCACAGAGTAAAAAGAAAAAAGAAACACGTCTATGTGAGAGTTAGTTAATCGGTGACAACATTTTTTCAAGTGAATTTATAAATGGACTGTTCGTAGTTCGTAATTCGAATATACTGTGGTTCGATATGTTTTTTTTTTTTGCTGTATAAATCATCTTTTAATTCACAGAGTAAAAAGAAAAAGAAACACGTCTATGTGAGAGTTAGTTAATCGGTGACAACATTTTTTCAAGTGAATTTAAAAATGGACTGTTCCTATTTCGTAATTCGAATACACTGTGGTTTTTTTTTGGCTCTGTGAATCATCATCTTTTAATTCAGAGCCAAAAAAAAGAAAAATGAACACCTCTATGTAATCGTCTACCTAATTTGCTTTTCAGAGAGTTTCCCGCGTTAGTCGGCTCGGCGACGACATTTTTCAAGTCAATTTAAAAATGAACTGTTCCTAGTTCGCAATTCAAATATATTGTGGTTATTTTTTTTCTTTTTTTGGCTGTGTAAATTATCATCATTTAATTTTAGAAAAAAATCTACATAAAGTGTTCTTAAGTTTCCCGTGTTTGAATGAAATTATAAATTCTTAATTCAAATATGTTTTTTTTTTTTTTGGCTCCAGCGATATAAATTGTTGCAATCAATCTTGTTCTTAATTCGAATCTCGTTCTCACATCGTGTTCTTAATTTGAAATCTTAAAGCAAATACATTAAGTAATTGCTGCGATTTCGCTTTAAGAGAGTTTCCAGAGATGTTATGGAGGCTTCGACATTATTTTTATTAAAAATGAACTGTTCACAGACAATCACCAATAATATTGCTCCTTTTTTTTTATATTTTTTTAATTATTATTTTCACGTTTTCAAAAAAAGCTGAAAATCAGTGTTTTATTCCTTGAACAATGTTCCAATTCTTAATTCAACCTTTCTGTATTTTTTTTTTTGCTCAGATCACACATATAACACAATTTTATAAATCTTATGTTGTATTATGTATTTTACATTCTTATGAACATGTGATTAGTAACAAACAAATAAACGATATATATATCTATCTATCTATCTTCGTAACCGTAACCGAAACTATCGGATATCCGATATAAAAAAATATTCGTAACCGTAACCGAATCCGAAATGAAGTTTCGGACAATATCGGATAGGGGCGGAGTCTAATTGAGACACGTTATGTAAATAATATATTAGCTGTTTGTATTTTACTTTTGAAATTCCGTATAAAATAATATCCGTAACCGAAATTATTCGGAACTGACGGATAATCCGAAATAATTTCATATCCGTATCCATATCCGTATCCGGTATAATAATCGTTACTATATCCGTATCCGAAATTTCATATCCATAACATCCCTATTAAGAACATGTAATGTGTTCTTAATTCGAATGATTCGAATGATTCGAATGAATGTATTGACCGAGTTTATGATTGAGCAAAAATTTTTCCCGCCAACTGCTGTTGAAGGTTTCAAATACACACTCTTTGATGGGTGACCACGTCATTTTCAGAGGAATGGATATTTAATAAATCTATGTTAATACACATGTCCATAGTTTAGCAAGAAGTACATATTCAATCGCCTTAAGAAGTCCGTAGCATTCTCCAGTATAGACAGAGGTCTCTGTTGTACCTGAAGTCATTGATAACAGCTTATATAAAACTAGGTACTCGCTCCGGCTTCGCACGGATGTACATGTATTATACACATAAACCTTCCTCTTGAATCACTCTATCTATTAAAAGAAACCGCATCAAAATCCGTTGCGTAGTTTTAAAGATTTAAGCATATATAGAGACAGACAGCGACAGCGACTTTACTTTATACTATGTAATGATAATGACACGCCATCACAATAATACAATATCCCACAAAATCTCGAAAATGTGGACACCCTTCTTGAACCTACTTAAACGATTGGGAACATTAGCGAAGGAGTATATTATAAATGAATATTTGCTCCCCTAAGGGTGTTCCCACTTAGACCGAGATCAGTACAAAGTATTGTTAACGATTTACCCTGCTTCAGGGCGGAAGGGATGCGATTAAGTTCACCATACATCGCTTAACGTAAAGCTAGCGACAGACTAAATCGTAACAATTTATTTATTCAAATACTAGATGCGCCTTCGGTTTCACACGCTTAAAATTTATAGCCTACTAGCTTTTCGCTCGCGTTAATTTATCACCTTAGGGGTGGAATTTGTCAAAATCCTTGCTTAGGGGATGCCTACGTCATAGTAGATTTATGCATGCAAAGTCTCAGCCCGATCGGTTTAAAATTGACAAAGTTTCATACAAACTTTCATCCCCTATTTTATCCCCTTGGAGGTAGAATTAATCAAAATCCTTTCTTA